CCTAAGCTATTGTGTTTGTGCGTTCGAATTTTGAAGGGATTTATACGGCCGTCCATTGTTTGTCCGCCCCCTTCTATTCACAAGATAGGGATTAAAACATTTCGAACGTTGTTACACCGGTGTACAACGGCAACAAAATTATTCCGACCACTGTATGTACAGACACATCTGTGTCTGTACATAAAAAGACAAATAAGTACAGTATGTATTTGCCCGGTCCTTTCTTAAAACTCATTTTATATATGTTGCTTGGTTACTAGACCTATTTTATAGCTCATTACGTAATTAGCATATAAATTTGCAAGTAATGTAAAGGCATTTTAAGAACACGTGTTATAATGCATGAATGTATTAGGCTTGACAAGTTCTACAAAATGCAAAAAACAAAAGGTCTCTAGCATTTACGGTTCCAGAATTAGAGGGAGTTTTCAGTATTGGTATCTAATGGCTGCTTCTCCCATGGAAATGCACCGATTGACCCCAAACTCCCAAAGATGAAAGGAGACCCTGACTGTAAGCCCTCACCATAATATGAGAGCTCAGGTCTGTGTAGTTTCTGAAAATTGGTACAAACAAATATCTTTTTGCAGAAAATTCCCATTTTTAGAAAATTTTGGCCCGTTCGACCTTGAAATAAAGGTCGAAAGTCAAATCTCAGGGCATATTTGGAATCTCCATATATGACTTTCGGTCAGACTTCTATAGTAATTTTTCCCATAATTCCTTCGGTTTGGGAGATATTTCGCATTGAATTTCCAAAAATTTTGACAAGGGCGCGTTTCAATGAGTGTCATGCCAAGGGCAATGCACCGACTGAGACAAAAATACCCAGGGGTTCAAGTTGAGATTATATGTGACCTAAATCCAAGAGATGGGCACACAGGCCCATGCAGTCTAGGAGGAGAAGCGGTAACGGTGACTTGTATCCCACGACACCCTGCGGAGCCAACGGAGCCGGCGGAGCCGGCGGAGCCAACGGAGCCGTACGAGACAGGTCGGGACTAAAACCATGAGTACCGCCAGCGTAGACGCTGGTGGTACTAATAACGTGAACACCAATATAACTATAATGGTGCCCATGATTTATTTTATAGAGAAATTGTATTACTAGTTCCTTCATAAAAAAAAATGAAAAAAAAATAAGAGAATTATTTGCAATTGTGGACTTAATTAAAATAAGCCAGTACTAGTACTTTAGTCTAGGTCCAAATGCTGTATATGGCTAACAAAATTTGGACCAACTGCTAGGTAAATTGATCTTAGTTTCTACAATAATCTTAATCTTATTAAGCAGCTTACTTGCAAACCTTAAACCCTTCTTGGCTGCAAGAGGTCTTGTTGCTAGGCAACATGTACATACAACATAATCCTAGACCATGTTTACTACTGTTTAGTTTTAATTACTGTGACAATATTAATACAAGGTTGTCCAAGTCTATGTAACCCTTAATTATTAAAAATACTCACTGAATCCTTACTAGATGTTTGTTTCATTATCACAAACTTGAAACAAAAATTAAGACATTCAAGTCTGATCTTATTAATTAAATATTATATATTTTTTTAATCCAATCATTTTCTATTTTTATTTATTCATTTATTTGGTCTTAACTTTTCACCTACTAGTAATCCTTTCTGATTCTACGTTATAAACCATTTCTCAGTTCCTGTAAACAACTGCTTTAATTTTCATCTTAAAAATGTAAAACTGCTTGTCAGTGAGTATGTTTCACAAAGAGATTAATTACTAGTAGAGAAAGGAAATATTGTGGCTTTATGTTTCATGAAAGTCATGGTCAAAGTCAAATAGTTCATGTAGGTTCATTATTAAAAGGTTCAGTGATGTCAACATGTAAAATCCATCACAAAGATGCCAAGAATTTAATTAACTTTTTATAAATTATTAATCTGGCAATGATTAAGATCAATCAAAATCTCAGTTAACACCACGTTCATATACGGGGTATGCACAAAGTCCAGACACACATGGTCTTTTTAATAAACTAAACTGGTGAAATTTTTTATATCTTCATTTAGTTAATGAAATCAAACTTTGCATCACAAATGAAGAAAATCACACTGGGGATAAAATTTCTTAATATTTTGCTTCATACTTTTTGAATGAAATTACTAGTATGCATTTTGCCTAGAGTCCAGATTTAAATGTGTTGCTTAAATTATTAGTAATATTTACTTGTTTGTTTACTTTGGCTGCTATGGATTGATGTTAAACAGAACTAGATTCAATTTCTGATCTAAATATTTGAACCAATTTTCAGGATATGGTTATTTTGTAAAATGCCCCCTGGCATCTGAACGGACCATTAGGCTAAACACTAAATTAGGTGGACTGTTGTATTATTCATATTCAATTAAGAGTTTTAAATTGATCAACAGAACAGGTGTCACTGTGCCAGTGGACCTTTCCTCATAAAAATTCATTGGTTGCCGCTTAAAATGATCTTAATAAAGAAGGAAAATGACTTGTGCAAACATTAAGATGTGATATATATATTCCTTATGTCAACACATAAAGTTTTGTGTAAACAAACACTGCATTGCAACTGAAAGTTAAAACTGCATTAAGTCAAGGGACAGATTTTACCCTCGTAGATTTCTGTTAAAGCTTTGCACGAGTTTAATTCGACATGCAAACACATTTCAGGGGTTTAAGCAGCATTTACTGTAAAACACTTCAGAAGAGTCCCCTTAGGTTTAACAATATCAGTTGGGCATTAAACTGTTCAAAACTGAAGGGGGTTTCTGGTTATGCAAAAGTCACTAGAGATAAATAATTATAAACTACTTATAAATGAAAGTACAGTATCAATAAAAAAATTAAAAAAAACAGAAAAAATAAAAAACAATACCCAATTATCAATAGCTTTTTTTTTCAAGTTTAATATTTTTAATTAATTTACTTGTCTAAAAATACAACTTCCAAAATAAGCCAGGAATATTTTCAAAACTAATGAAGTAACACATTTTAAGTACATGTGAATCAACTTTCTATGAAATATCAGCGATTTGCACTTTGTCACAAACCCTATCAAACATGATTAAGAAAAGTTCAAAACTGAGATCAAAACTGAGATCTTTCAACCTGCTTTTTTTTTTTTTTTTTTTTTGAGTTCTTAATTTGAAATGTTTACTCTTCCTCCGAGCAGAATTCATTGGTAATGGCTCAAAATTTAGAAAAATCTAATTTGAAAACCAGTTTCTAGACAAAGATCTATTATTTCCATGATATTCTTTACCCTGGTGGTCAATTAAAAACGGCTGACATACAATTACCTGCACTGGTGAATTCTGTAATAAACGGCTTCTTCGTTTCAGGTTTCCCTTGTGAATTCACATCCAAACTTTTTCTCCACTTCTCAGAAAACTTTGTCCTTTTCTCCTTGGGGAAGTAGACCCCATGCCAGAGCGCCTTCATCATGTAGTCAATATTAATCAGCACCTGTCCCAGTCGGGTGTCCACGTAAGCCTGGGGCAGCTGACATGAGGTGCTCTGGTCGAAATTTGCTTCCAGAGAAATGGACGGCAGTTGACCAAACACGTAAATGCCAATGGTCGTTTCACGGATAATTTGGTGAAGTTCCCGGAAATCTAATGGGTCACAACCCTCCATGTCGTCCTCGGGGAGGAGGAACAAGCACTGGTTTTCGTTCTGGCCCAGAGGGACCATCTTCTTAACCAGACCCAGGGGCATTTCTACGCTGACCTTCAGGTCTTCGCTGGACAGGAACCAGTGCGAGTGCGTGCATGCTATCAGCTCGTAGGTGTCGTAGGTGTCATATTTCTCAAAGAAACTTGCTGTGTATTTGTTGGTTTGCATCGCAGCTGCAATGGCGTCACCAACCACCAAATCATCAAGGCTGGTCATCTTCTAAATGTGGAAATATCTACAAAATAAATAAACAATTCAATAAATAAGTTTAAAAAAATAAAATACAAGCTATTTCAAATAATGAGACGATGTATACATATATGCATGTTTAATATGTCACTATTTTATGTAGGACATTATTCAATGATAAACATTAACAAGTCTGAAATATAATTAAGGCATGCAACATATATGTACTAGTACAGTTGTACTGTGTATTAACCCATTGTAGCCCTCGTCATCAAAACAAACGGCAGCCATACTGGAGGGAGACCGGAATCGTCTGCTGCGCATGATCATGTCTACATGTACAATTTAGCATTTAATTTCTGTGTTTTCTTTGATATTAAACCGAGTAAAATGATGAATTATTGCAGAGTATATGATAGAGAGAAGATAACTTTACAAGCGTTCACAGACTGCCTGCAGTGGTAACAATCCGGGGCCATAGCGATAGTCCGAAGGTTCAATAGTCCGAAGGTTCATTGGTCCGAAGGTTCAATGGTCCGAATGTGCATTGAAGGTTCATTGGTCCGAAGGTTCGATAGTCCGAAGGTGCATTGGTTCGAAGGTTCATTAGTCCGAAGGTTCGATAGTCCGAAGGTTCGATAGTCTAAATGTAGGCCCGCTGTATAAGTGTATAGTGAATTACATGTACAGGGGCGGATCCAAGATTATTTGAAGGGGGGTCCGCGGATGCAAAGCCCCCACCCCCCTTGGCGTAGGATCTGGGGCCCGCTAAAGGGCCCCGAAAATTGTTGGTGTCTCAAAATGACCACCTATTTATCTAGAGACACATCTGTGAATATCTGTAAAAAATCTATCAGTCGCCCTGGTAGAGGGTTTAAAAGTTAGGTCTGCACGGGCAAAAATAACGTCAATACTAGCATATTACATTAGTTACAAAAAAAAAA